TTCAGCGCGCATTTTAAAGGACTATATACATACGTTGTATATAAATTCATGCAGAATCATACAGTATTTAAGATCCAGTTAGATCGTTTAAGGTATTGATTTCTTCTGATTTTAAAATATGTGAGGTTGTGTTCTCACATACACAGTTCTATAAGATATTATATTATATTAATGAACATTAATGAATTATAATGTTACTTAGGGAACAGTGTAAGGTTTTAAAAATAGATTCCCGCCCGCTTCAAGGTTAATCAATAATTATCTACAAGTTTAAGTTAAATAATAATTAATTCAAATTAAAAACTATATAATTTTTTTCCTTTCTTTTGGGAAACTGAATTTTTTTTAATCACTCACATTCTTTACGTCATTTCACGAATTACGTCACTTTTGACGTAAGGCAGCGAGATGTATTTTGCTATCTCTTTTCTTCTTTCTGCGTCAAAGGAATAGCATACTGAATTCAGATTTAACGCGAAAAGCTACGAATTGATGCATCAAATTTAATCCTTTACCTCTATTCCAGATATGAAATACATCTTTGCCATGTCTTATCCGGAAAATATTTCCAATTAGATTTGAAAATGGTAATAATCATATAATGTCCATAATGTGTCCATATAAATTTTCATTCCTGTTTTCTTACGAAATATGATACCGAATAGTAATACGGTAGCTAGTAAAATATCCATCGCATATTAGTCTACATGTAATAAGTTTACTCTATCTTGAGTATTAAAAAAATATTAGAAAAAGCAGATTTCTGATCAGAACATCTGCTTTTATTACGAAAAAACATCACATTAGGAATAATGGCGAGAAAGTAACTTTTAATTCATTTATTTTCCGCACAGGGGAATTGATAAAATATTCCCAGTCTCGAATAATGGATTATCTAAATGACTGATATCTTTAGACATCGAAAATCGATAGAGTACTAACTAATGGCGTTTCCATAATTGAAACTGTACTCCGACTGTTCCGTGACCGACGCTGACTCGAATTTCAAAGTAATCATAGAAAGCACTTAGTCGGTTCGGACTAGCCTTCTCAGCAATATGGGTCATGAATATTCACTCGGATAGTCATTGTTATTACTTGATTCTACTTACAATTGGCCCGTTGCTCATGTCCCGTGTACATAAACGCGCGCATGTCCGACAATGTATCGCACGAGCCTTTTGTCGCCGACTACAATAGAACGTTTCAACCAATGCGGACAAAATGTCCGCATTGGTTGTAATGTCCGAAGAATATAGTGCAAAAAATCATGTTAACGAAGTTAAAGTAATAACGATGTGCTTTAATTAGCCTTATCTCTTGAGCGCTCAAACGCATGCACATACCAATTATATCCATAATGATCCCATAGAAAGCTAATGTGGCACGATCCAAATTAATTTGAAGCGCATATCTTGATAGATTGGTTGACGTTGACGTAAATATCCTTCATTATATGAGAGAGGATTCCATAAAATAAAATATACCTCCATACGTTCGCTGAAAAATGAAACGGATTAACGAAAATTTAAAACGATGCGACGAGTGCTCTGTTAATTTATTTAGGCATTTAATTTTTATATATGTACACAGATATATTCTTAACCTGTATTGCCAAAAACTGGCGTACATTGAAATAAAACCTTACATAAATTACAAGAAATACAAGTATTATCAAACATAAGAGCAAAAGTTGTATCTCGAAATCAGAAATTATTCATTGTGAGGAGATGCGTTATACGACACAAATGTACTAAATGATTTGGAAGATATTATATATAGTATTTATATGAAGAGCATATATACTTCGTAAATATTCGAGATACCCTAACTCTTTTTCCTCTCATTTCACTTTGAAATCTTTAAATCCAAACCTTAGTGATAGCGATAGAAATAATCTATCAAAAATCGTATATAATGCACGTTTTCTAATAAATTATTCCTATGTTGTTTTTATCTCTATCGCTGTTGTTTCGCATTGTGCAAGGAGCATAATGTAACACACAGTATGCATCCGACGCGTCGGCATTTAAGCTGCGCACAGGTTGGTGAAGTAAGGGACGGGAACCAAGCTGAAAATCAGTCGAAATGTGCAAGTAAATCTTAGCACTGGTTTAAGAAATAGTCAAAATGATACATTTGTATGTCGAGAATACATGAAGTAGGTATGAGAAGCCTTCACCTTCAAAAGAAAAATACTACGAGTTCATAACAGCGATATCTCCAATCAAACCTTTGTATTTATTATTATTTTGTGTATTTCATACCTCGTGTTAATATACCGGAAAAATACCTTTTCCTACCGGAGAAATTAATACCTCGAATTTTTAGAAGTACTACGCAGTTAAGATACATGATTAAGAGTATATGTACAATGTACATAATATGCTATCTCAAATTAAAAAAAAAACCTTCTTTATTATTATTGCTTTATACGATTCTTCAAGGCCTTAAAAAAAGACTAACTTTGACTTAAAATCGAAATAACTTTGACCCAAATTTTGATAATGCTCGGATAACATTATCAAAACCTTAAAGCATGTCAAAATTTTAAAGACATTTTAAAGATGTTTTAAGTTCTGATTTGATAAACTGACACGTGTACTGTCAAGGCATTTTTTTAATTATCCTATTTTACAACACTGAATAAACCGATAAAATAAAATTAGCAATTTCTCGCGAGCTTGTGCACAGCAAGCTCATGTAGGTGTCGCAAATATTCAATTTGTGCAAATTATCGGTATGAGAGAGCATAATCCGGTTTCCCGGAGAAACTCCATCGACCCATTACTGTATTTTAATGCATTCCGAGTATAATTAACGATTCTATTTTACGTCGTCACCTCAGATTTTAATTAATTAATGCATCGGTGTACAATACGCGTTATAAGCTATGAGAATCGATGTAAGCCACGGATAAAAATGAACTGATGCATTCTGCGCTGCGCTGCGAGAATGGCGGCAAAACGAGCACGCTTTAATTTTAATGTCATCTACATATCAGCATCCATCTTGTAATTCATTTTGTATGAAATACAATTTGCTGCAAGCTATTTTCACAAATCAAGAAAAAAATAAAATTTTTTCTTTTTTTTTGTTTAGAAAAGAGTCATATTAGAAAAGAGAAAAAGTAAATTCTTTTTTTTAAAACGAGGTAAAACCAGTGTCATTTAGCGTAATTAAATATACACCCGTTTCAACTCAACAGACCTTGTCATTTTTCTGCTTAGTAATCATACATAATGCACGAAAGGGGCGGCAACTGCACTCATGTAATCACGGTTTTTCGGTTTACTTAATTCGCTTACATTGCGCGTTAACTCTTTCATCTTTAGAGACAGACTTTGTTTATCTTTTAAAATCTAATTTTTGCAAGAACGATTTTATAAAAATATCTAAAAATTTAGGTAAATATAGATCTGAAAATAATTTTTTGTAGGTTTTGGGCCGTCAAAATAATTATATGGGAATAATTATGTAGGAAACTCTAGCATATATTATGATGAGCAGTGCTGCAAAAAGTTTTGATATTCTAGCAACTATTTTGAGCGTCCTAAACAGTTATTTGATGATTCCAACAAAATTATTTTTAGATTTACATTTAGCTAAATTTCTGAATACTTTAGCAAAATCGTTCTTTTTGTGTAAAGTCTGAAATAAAATATTGTGCTGTTTTGCCCTTATCGGGAGGGCGACATATTGCACGCGTGATCGAACTAGGTATGCAGTATCTATCTCGCGCGAAAGGATGGTAGGAAATATATCCTATGACTTGTTCTTTAAAGTGCAAGTGCTTGCGGCAAAATAAAAAGATCCTCGCGCAGAAATGCGCTACTAAACGCGCTTGGTGAATAGATAAAATAAAAACGATCTGGGAATTTTCTTTGAAAACTAAAGCAGAGTCCCCTCTGAAAAGATCCTCCCACCTCCGCATGTTTGCTTTGTGGAATATCATCGCGCACAAACGCACCCGGGAACTTTACCTTAGAATGCTGCACTAGTAAAGCGTATACACTTTTTAAATAGTAAAGCGGTGTCTACAATATAAAAGTGGTGAGCCTTAAATTGTAAGAAATTGATCAATCATAGTCGATTATTCTCATCATAGCCGATTATTCTCTTCACATTCGATTGATCAATTTCTTACAGCTTAAGGCTTATACTTCTTCCTGTGTAGCACAGATTTCCAAGGAATATCTTAAAAATATTCTACGTTCTGAGGACGTCTCCTCGGATGAAGTGCGTTGTAGACACCGTTTAATGCAACGCGAGGGGCATATTTTTTTTTTGTACTTGTAATATTAATTTTTTACACAAAGTGAAAAAAGAAGGAAAAAAAACATATGAGAGTTTTGTTATTCGTGTTCGTTAATACCCGGCGGTATAAAATAATTCGTTGACCTCGGATTTGCATGATCAGCAGGTACGCGCGTAAAAAACTGCCGTGTACAACCGCGCGAGATACGACTGTTTGCATTGGTCATGTGCAATTCTGATTTACACAAGTCTGCAATCGCCATGCAGCTATGGTAAATGAAATCGTGATAAGGGTTTGCATAGTTAATGCCTACGTAAAAGCTATCATGCGAATAAAATCCTCCGGATAAAGCCAGGGAACAAATGCCGTAAAGAATAGAGACGGTTTCTAGGCTTTTTGTATTATACGGATATTTACGAGGCAGTTTAATGAAATCCGTGAGCGGGCGGGTTTCCGGATTTGTACGGTACACATAAATAGCGAGAGAGAGAGAGAGAGAGAGAGAGAGAGGTACGCGTATAAATTGAATCTGGCCGGAGGCGGAGGAACGCGTAGGGAGATATTCTCATTTGCCACTCGACGCTTTGAAACGCCGTCGATTTGTGTGCGCACGGCATTTTTCATATGTGCACAATGCGCAAATCGAAGGGCTCGCGCTTTTTGTTGCTCATCGCATTGTTGTCGTCGTTTATTGCCGCGTGCATTGGAGATAACTCAATTTTTTATCGTTCCTCTGTTGCAGCACTGTTTCGCGATATCGTACAGGAGGGAGAACCAACGGCAATACGAGCTAAAAGCGGCCACAGAGACGAACTGCAAAGCGTGGATCGATGCGATACGAGAAGCTAGGTAAACGACGACGGCTAGCGCCCGAATCGAAGATCTCGGGGACTGATTAAAACGACGCGCTCTGATTCACGGAGATCGCGCGTCCCATAAATCATCACGATCATCCCGATGACTAATTGTGAGCGTAGTCAGGTGGCGTTTAATGTTTCAAAGCTCCAATTAGATTCGTCGTTTCAATCACTCGTGCCGGCGATTAATTTTATCCGCGGAACAAGACAAATTCTACCATCATAGACGTATTCAGAGAGGGGGAGGTTAGAGGGTTTAATCTCTCTTTGAATTTTTGTTTATTTTTTCATTTTTAATTATGCAAGGTATAACTTTATTTTCTTATTCTGAATGAACTTTTTGTTGCCACATAAAATATTTTTGTTTTCTTCACTATGACTATAAGCTTATAATTTCAGGAACTTCCATCAGTTTGAACTTTGACAGAATTTACATAAAGAATACATCAAGAAAATTTTTTAGATTTTTGAATAAAAAAACAGCTATGTACTAAGATTATTAAATGAATATTCCACTCTTACAACTACAAATTTCGTTTTTCATCTTTTCGCTATGGCGGTCTCTTTTCCGCTGAAATATTCCCGCCGCAATAAAAGTGTACACGCGCGAATAGTCTTTTAGCATTCGGATAGCGTTAAGAAAACGTATCGAAATAAAATGAGCAATATTAACATTGGCATAAACGTAGAATCCGAATATAAACAAAATATAGACAGAGCTGTAATTTGCAAGTCCAAAATAAATATGCGGAATTTTTTGACTATAGTCGACCGTAGCGAAAGGATTAATAATAATACTATTGTATATTTTGCCTATACTTTTCTTCAGAAAAAAAATAAAAAATTATAATTTTTTATATTCAACATTTTTCTTATTAAAAATCAGAGACAAAGAAACATTCCAAGCTTTAAAATTTCTAAAAAAATTAATTCATTAACATAAAAAATTACTGTTTATATGGTAATAGAATTGATAACTCGTGAAATCGTTACAGATACGTCTACGCTCATTATTACGCATCAAATTTATTGGATCATTGAACCGATTTCAACTTACTTAAGCTTCTCTGTTTTCTTTTCTGAGAAAATTAGAAATGTATTTATATCAATTGAAAGTATTAGACAAAAAACAAATATCAGATAATATCAGTTAATATTTTGATTATAAATATGTCTTAAAATTAACTGCAAAACACAAAACAACAAATAATTTAGTTTATAATAGCTTATGTAGCGCAATGATCATATTTTGCTATAGTTTTAGGTAAATAACTTTTAAATGAATATAAATGGATACACACCAACTTTTGTATCAACATTTATTAGAGATTTTATTAGTACATGAAAGAAACGATTTTGCTGAAGTATCTAGAAATTTAACTAGATTCAGATTTAAAACTAATTTTGTTTGAACCATTAAAATAATTACGTAAGATGTTCAACCGTGTTACTAGGATGTTAAAATTCTTTTCTACATTACGTATCGTGCTTGAGTTTCTAAGTAATTATTATGACAGTCTAACAAATTATTTTCAGATTTCTATCTAGCTACATTTTTAGATATTTCAGCAAAAATGTTCTTTCTGTGTATGTATAAAAAAGTTAATGTAATTCGTAACGCTACTTCCTTATCACGAGCATAAGTGCTACAAAGTGTCATTTTATAAAAAAATTAAGGCAAACAAGAAATTAAAAACTTTTAAATCTCGATAAGAGAATTGTTCTCAAATATAGATACTGACAAAGGAACTTCTCGAGGTGTCAAATTCTGATTTTAATAAAATTTTGTGTTACTTATAGCTTACATAAAGAGATGAAAAAATGAATAAATATGTATACCTGGGACTTTAAAATATCTTAGGCTGTGTTCCAAAATTTACTACCAGTACTGAAAATCTATAGTGCACGCAACGTAAACTATAGATTTTCAGTACTAGTAGTAAATTCTGGAACACAGCCTTAAATAACAATGACAACTAATTCTAGGCTACTGAGAGTCAACGAGGGAGGGAGTGCGTAATTATTGTAATTTAAAATATAAAATGATTACATCCTAATATATTTTACATTAGACTTTATATTATTTTATATCACTTAATAATATTTTACATTACAATAATGACGCACCTCCTCCCGCGTTGATTCACAGTAGCAAAAATGATATTTTTTAAATTCATCTTTTTATGTAAGCTATAAGTACACAAAGTTTCATTAAAATCAGAATTTGGCACCTCGCGAAGTTTTCCTTGTCAGATATAATAATAAAATAATCTATAAAATATTTATATTTTTGGTTATGCTTTGAGATGTGAAACATCGCTAAATGCAACACTGTTAATAAGTTCTTCATGATTTTGTTAAATATTTTTCAGATTTAAATCAATTATGTACGTGAGGTAGGGATACTCGATATTCGTTACTGATATTCAAGCTGGTAGGTGCAGATCAAAATATGATCTCTGACAATAACGTGCATGAAAGCTTCATTTATTCATCTGATCGAATTACAAACAATTTGTAAAATTTTTCGGTATATCACGGCGTAAGAGGAAAGCAAATTTTTCATCAACACAGACTCGTTGGCGTGTAGTTGTAATGGCGGACTCGTGCCGTTCCTTTATCTCCTTTAATAAGTCTTTTATTTTTAATAAAACAGCGACACAATAATCTTGCGATCGGAAACTTATGGACATTTACTTTATAAATCAAAAGGTAAAATTGTTCGAGCTAACGGAATAATCTCGCAATGAACAATACGGTGTTCGCGGCATAATAATTAACTTGATTCTCCAACATCGCTCCGTTTTATCCATACTTTAAAGTAGACTCTTAATCTATTATTCAAGAGGTTACCTTAATCTTGTTGATGCGTTGATAAATACGTTTACGGGCATCGCATTAACATCGAGCCGTTTCAGCCACCACCTCTCTATTAATCCCCGTGCCGTAATTTGTGCACATTAACGCCGAAGTAATCTTCATCATGCTATCAAACGCGTCTTACGAGCCAGAGGGCGAACTAGTAACAGCCGGTTATTGCGGAAGCTCCAGTGAAGAGGATTGCACAAGGATACGATGCTAATATCACAAATGTATTTCACCCGTTAGCGCGGAATTTATTCCAAGTTCATAATTTCAGCAAAAATAAAAATGGTAATTTAAAACAACAAACTTTTTTCTATCTACAATCAGTGTAAAAAATATCCATACAGGAGGAATACTTTTCACAAAAAAAAAATCTTATTTCTAAAAAAATAACCATTAATTACCAATTTATTAACAAAGAATAAAATAGATTACATATTTATCATAATAATTTTACTTACAAAGATGTAATAATTAAGAAATATATTATCTTAATAAAATAAACAAAAATAAAAAATTATATTATTTGGACGCAGAAAAAGTATTTATATCTAATCGATAAATTTAGGTTCTAAAAATCATGAACATTATTTTTGAGAGAGAAACTTTTTAATATATATATTTGCATTATTAATAAATTGTTATTATAATTAAATAATTAATGTTTGTTTTTTACAAATAAGATTTTTTAAATAAAAATCCCTTCTTTACGAATATTTTTTGCACTTACTGTACGTATTTCTTTTCTTTACAAGATAAAGGGCTTTATAAAAATTTTTCTTCGCTAACAATTTTAGTTTTGATACTGTTTACAAATGCGCTCGGTAACAGACAGTCCGATAGCTTCTTTTGCTGACGTTTCTCCTGAGAAACACAAGTATCTGCAAAAGAAAAATTGGCGGCAGAAGCATTAGTGACAGAAAAGTTATCGACAGGAAAAGTATTTGTGATAGAAAAGTTATCAAACTTTGCATCTTTTTCAAATATAGTAGAACTCCTACCTGCATCTTTATTTGTGCGATCAAATTTATGCTTAAATTATTAGATCCTAATATTCAAACTGATAGTTAAGTCTAGTGGCGCCATAATTCGGATAACAAGAGCTCGACGTGCTCAACTCCAGTTTTCTGAACGTCAGCTTCTATTATCAGAACTAATAAATATTGGTAAAGAAGAGAATTAGTGAACCTCTGATATCTGAATTATTCGGTTTCGAACTTTGCCTTGTTTTCCAACAAACGAAATAATTTTACTGTACAGGATGAAAACAAACTATGATACAACTGGATAAGAGGAGGGCAATTATTTCTTGTACAAAAATAAATTAAAAGTAGAATAAATTTTTTGTCCGTGGCTTTGATTTGAGAAAATTAAATCGTGTAGAGCATACGTGCACTTAATGAAGATACAATTTGTAGAAAGATACTGTAAAATCTATGATCAGAGTCTATATGTACCTTTATACCATACGTACGTCATTTGACGAGCACAACTTTGCTTATGACAGCAGGAACAACGTTTTTTTAATTATTTATTACATTTTCTTTAATCCTGCCACTTGTCAAGTTGTGTAAACATTATGTAAACATGACATTTATTGTCTTTTCACAAATTGTATCTTTATTAAGTGTATCGCGTATTCAACGCGATTTTCAAACTTAATTTTCTCGATAACAAAGCCTTGAAAGAAAACGATTTATAATACTAACTTATTTTTTAACTTACTTTTCTACAAATCATCTTTTGTTGGATTCTGCCATATTATATTTGTTTAGTTTAAAAAATATGTGCCTTATACGAATATATATTTAAAGTACCGTTTTTCAATTAAAGAACAATTTTTTAAATTCACCTAAGCGTTACTTTGCCTCGAGCTTAAACAAAATAATTATAAATCGCATTATAAATCTAGCATTATTGTTTAATTCAGATCCGTAAAACTCAATAAAAGTTAAATATATTTGTTTCCCTAATTATTGACTCCCATACAAGATACATAATTGATAATATCTTTATACGACGCAAAAATATTTTATTTCTTTTAAATATTACTGTATGAAGTTACTATGAGAAGTTGTATCCTTCTTTCGCCGTAGTCCTTATTTTGCAGACTTATACACATCCCGGCGGAACGATTGCCTTCTCAGATTACTGCTACCCTGCACCATAATATGCATAGATAATGATGTTCGCGTTACTTTAGCAATTCTGCCGTGCCGTGCCGTGTTCGAAAATACAAGGTTCATACTTCTTCGAGTATCTCGTGACACGCAGAAGGTCGATCGATAGTATGATAACTTTTTCAACGTGGACCACGCTTGAGTGCTTGTTTTGCGTTGATTCAAGTAGAGCTTCTCAAAACCCGCTGCAGGGTATGGACGAGCTCATGCTATTTATTTGTACGGCTCATGGATATGTATGTAGAGCAACTCGATTAAAATTTAAGTCGATTGGAAGGAAATATCTTATATGTTTGATGAGGGAGACATTACGCTGTGCTTGCTCGTTACGAGAATTTGCGAAAACAGATTCAAGGCTATGTATACCTAGTATACCTTATACTATGTATAAGGA